GTCCTATCTTCATGGTGCTGACCCACAGTCTTTGGCACAAACTCCAGCATGTGTCTCCATGGAAAACTCGGAAGTGAAGGCGAAGTGCACCCTTCTCACTGCCCCCTACTGCAAGATCCAGGTATCAGAAACCTGATCTCAATTCATGTAGACTCCATGGAGTCTGGCACTCCACTGCCACCCATGCAGATTTGTTACATAGGGAGGGTATTGTGGTACCAACAGGTTACCACTGAAAGGAAAATTATATAATCAGCCACAAGACCTCTGAAACCTGCGGGTGTAGAGTGGGGAGCCATGAGCAGTTTGTGTCTGTGGAAGGGGCTTAAAATCATCAATAAGAGCCAAGAAACAACAACATTTACTTGACTGGTTTCCCAATTCTTTTGCAATAAGTTGTCTAAAAGTGGATGTCATCTTAAAGCACACCCCAGATATTTGATTGGTGTTACTTCAGTTGAAGTTAAATGTAACTTGGTGTCTGTTTACTTTGCAGTAGAATTTTGGCATAATACTAATGCTTCAGTGTGTGGTTAACAGGTGTAGTCTTGATGCTCTTTGGCGGGGTTCCTAAGAAAACAATGGAGGGAACTACCCTGAGAGGCGATATTAACTGCTGTATAGTAGGAGACCCAAGCACTGCTAAGTCTCAGCTACTTAAACAGGTAAACCAGGAGCTATTATTTTGTACCTTTTGGTATTGACAAATTGGATTTGTGCAGTTCAGGGAGCACTAACAAGTTTCAGTGATGTGTTATTTTGAATCTCAGGTATAACAGAGTTTATATTTGTGCTCATTGACATACATAACACACTCCTCAAGCTAGTGGACAAACCTTTGTTGATGATTGCTTCCTGTTATAATTCAGTTGAGAAAATGTCATCCTCATGATGGTGATCTGGATTTTGGCACCATATAGACTCTCATTAAGAAAGAACTTCCCTATAGAGTTCCACTATGTTAGATTTGAGGTTTTCACATTGGTGAGGATGATGGTGATGTTCTGGGTTTTGTTACTATGTGGTCTACTTGGAGCCAAAACGAAAATGATGATCATCATTATCCACACTGCTGTGAAAACTTAAAATCACAGATCATTCTGTATGTTTTAAAAATGATAGGTGTAAGCAAATGCATGCGCGCACACACGAAATGAATTTGGCATTTGTTTTGTATGGTTATTGAATGTATTTTCTTACTTTGAGAGTGGAGCATAACTTCCTAGTGTTTGAAAAGAGGGTGCTTTGATGAGGGATGAAGGAAATGTGCAATTAAGATACAATATACTAAATTTTGTCATTTATTCAGGTTAATAAAAATTGCATAGAGAAGTTTATTAGTGAAACTTCTAATAAAATGGCTTCCAGGAAGACCTCGTGAGAGATTGGAGGATAACATTAATATGCATCAAAGGGAGGTATGTTATTAGGATGGAGATGGATTGAACTGACTTTGGATCTTGTTTGATGCCAGCCAGGCTTCGGTATTAAGAATGTTGAATTTACTACCAAGTCATGTCACTTCATATTAACAAAAAAGAGATATTTCAAACCTTACCTCAGATATGTGTGTGTGTTTGTGTATGTATTGTAGTACCATTGGAGGTAAGTATTTCCACCAAATTTTACTGATTTATGGCCACTACATTTTTGGGTGCATACAGTTGAGTTTGTCAAAATACTTGTCTCTCTTCTTCTTTTTCCTTTTTCTTTCTTTCTTCAAAATTTGTCTTAGAAAATGGTATATATCTTATTCCCAAACTGAGGTACAGAACTCACTTTATGCATATTTCAAAGCTTATAAAATGCCATTTCCAGTGATGTTACACAAATATATTCAGCACATGATGACAGACTCGCGGGCAACAAGCCACGTCAGATGGCTGAATGGTGAATGAACCATTTCTTTCACCACCGTTTTGAGAGCCATCTGCTCTCATTCTCAGGGCAGCTGCGAAACGAAACTGGTCCTATGTAGCATGCTCGCCAATGGGAACTGGCGGTGGACGGCAGGTAGTAGCATTGTGTTGCTGGTGGCCCGTCTGCGCTAACCAATAGGAACTGGCAGATGAGGTCAAGTGCTCACTCTTGCTGTCTCGGCTATCCGCGCAGCGGTGGACGGCAGGTAGTAGCATTGTGTTGCTGGTGGCCCGTCTGCGCTAACCAATAGGAACTGGCAGATGAGGTCAAGTGCTCACTCTTGCTGTCTCGGCTATCCGCGCAGACAACAGTTTTGTCACAGGATACCAGGTCCGGCTTAGCGTGAAACCATAATCCCTTTATCGCTACATAGGACCAGTTTTGTTTCGCAGCTGCCCTGAGGATGAGAGCAGAGACGGCTCTTGAAACGTTAGCAGAAGAAATGGTTTATTCACCATTCAGCCACCTGATGCGGCTTGTTTCCCAAGAGTCTTTCATCAACTTTGGTTGCCGCGAAAGCCTCACTTTATATATTCAGCACAGTTATGTTTTCTAAGTCTTTCACATTTGACCTTTCACCATGTATTTCTCTTTGAGGTAGTTTAAGTTAAACAAGTATTGTGTGAATGTAACAATTATTTAAAACTCTGAAAATATCAAGTTTGGATTCCATGGGATTGGGGTTTTTGAAGCATTTTACTGTGAAGTGTCACTTCTTGTATTAATGAGGCAACTTCAAGCAACATGTTTCTTTTAAATTCTTTAACAAACTAATTGGATGGCTTACCAGACCTGAAGGTTCATCACCGAATTACCGGACCTTGTCATGGGCCAACAAAATCCAGTCTCCTTCGACTCCTATCTCCCATACATCCCGCCTGAGATTATCCTCCCATCTACGTCTAGGTCTCCCCAGCGGTCTCTTCCCCTCAGGTTTAACAACCAGTACCCGGTGCACATCTCTTGTCCCATCCATGCGCGCTACATGCCCCACCCATCTCATTCTTCTCGACTTAATCACCCTGACAATACTGGGGGAGGAGTATAAATTTTTAAGTTTGTCATTATGCAGTTTTCTGCAGACCCCATCGCCTTCTCTCCTAGACCCAAATATCCTCCTCAACACCCTATTCTCAAACACCTGCAATCTATGTTCCTCCCTCAGAGTGAGAGACCATGTTTTGCACCCATACAAAACAACAGGCAAAATTATTCTTTACATTTATTAATTCAGGTTAATGTAAATAATGTATATACATTGAGAAAGATTGTAATTTATACAGTAAGATACCTTCTTGTAAGAAAGCTATTTGTATAAAAGTTATAAATACAATCTTGTAAACACTTCATGGCATTTGGTCAAAACACATTTTCTTTAGATAACTCACCTGAGAAGTGTAAGGTTCTTTCACCCTGGTTACTGTGGATTACAGATGTATGTTTTATTTCACTGTAATTACGGTTTTCAGCACAAGCCATGTGGTTACAATCCCATTTAATGTCAGATTCTTCTTCAATAGAAGTTATGAATATTGTTTTAGTTGACTATGTCTGTCATGGAAATGTGTTCAAATAAATCTTTGGAGGTGTGGTTACATATTAATGTGTGAATCTGAATATGCCAAAAAGCATTGCATGCCACATAACTGATGTTCTTTGATGAGAGAACAGTAGGATTGTGAATGAGAAAGAATTAATGTCATATTTATATGAAAATTGAGGATTTACCTGTAATATAGAAATCTACGGAAATATAAAAAGTTGCAGGACGAGCGAGAGATATAATATTTTTGGCAAGTAGATTTGTGCTAGCACTGCTATCCATTACAATTCTGGTGGATTGAATAGTTTGCTCGCTGCTCTGCAAAGTACAGGCATTTATCTTAAAATTCTCAAAGTTTAAGACTGAAAAATCAGTATAAAATAAGTAAACAAACAACTAATAACACTATAGTGTTAATAGTCGTTTACTTATTTTATATTCTAATACACTACATGGTATGCAAAGTTTTGAAATGAAAAATCAGTGTTTGAATTGAGGTCAAGATATTTCTTTTCGCTCTCATCTTGTAAGTTCAAGACTTGTTCATGCCTATTATTGTTCATAAGTATGGTGTTTCTTTTACTGTGTTACATGTGAAACTTCTGCAAATAAACTACTAATATTATTTATGACATTAACAGTAGGTATTAATTAAAGAGCCAGGGTAGCTGAGTCAGTAATATGTCCAAGTATGAGATGTTCGTCTTGGGTTTGATATTTGGCAAGGCCAAAGGATTTATCTTCTACTCTTTGCATCCAGACTGGCTGTGGGGCCACCCAAACTCCTATCCATTGGGTACTGGGGGTCATTTCCCCAGGGGGTATATTGCAGTTTGAGTGTGATCTGACCACCCCATCCCATCTAGCGCCATGTTACCAATGGTGAAACCTGGTGTAGAAGCCAGATCATGCAGAAATGCGGTATTACTAAATTCCCTTAACCTTTATCTTACTAGCGTTCCCAGTCTGGTACGTAAGTTGTGTACTCAGCCCTACGAACGTTCCCGGAGCGGAACTCAAAACTTGCAACACTGTAAGTAGACTTGGCTACGTCTTTTGGCCTTTTTAGGGGCTGCAAATATTGAATCACTTTTTCTAGGGTTTTTACAAGGTTAGCCTGAGCTGTCAACCCCGAAACTATAACCATAAAAGCAATAAACATTGTTATTGTCAAGTGGGTTTCAGCTTGGTTTCAGATTCCCTAATCAAAGCTACTCACATTCCTCGGCATGATCTGTGAAAAGAATGTGTATCCGCTGAAGTAGGGGAAACAAATTTTTCTGTGTGGTCATGAGTTCACAACCATGGCTTCTACCATGTCGAATGAGCTTCCAAAGAAGAAAGTAAAGTTACTAAGGCCTATTTAGGCAATTAAGATATTAACTGCATTTTTAAAAACTCTATGTATTCTCTGTTCTATTCGAATAAATACGGCTTTTACTTTGTCAATTTATCATGTTTACATTAGATAATATTAAAGTTTTCCTTAGAGCATGCTCAAAAGTTTAAAAACCTGCAAAGAAACTCTGCAGGGCTGCTACCACTTTGCCACTTAAATCCCTGTCGTTTAAAGGTTAAGAGTCACCATGGTGCTGAAGTATTTTAATGATAACAAAAGTAATATTAATATGCATTATATAGTAAATAATTCTTGTATATTCTTCCAATTTCAGTTGTCCAGCAGCACAGTGCTACAAGACTTGAGCATTTGGCACTGTCTTTAGCCTGTTTTTGAACTAAGTACTACTACTTACACTCTCTTTCTGCAGGTAGCAGACTTTAGTCCTCGAGCAGTATACACTTCTGGAAAAGCATCTAGTGCAGCTGGTCTGACAGCGGCTGTTGTCAAAGACGAGGAGTCATTTGACTTTGTAATAGAGGCTGGTGCCCTTATGTTGGCAGACAATGGTATTTGTTGCATTGATGAGTTTGATAAGATGGACCCTCATGACCAGGTGGCAATCCATGAGGCTATGGAACAGCAGACAATCTCAATAGCCAAGGTGGGTGGTGTCATAGTGTAATGGAGCTTAATATTTTTATTACATGAATGTGTTGAAACGAGGTACAGTGAAAAGCCATCATACCTTTAACTTACATGTTTAACTTCATATATTTAATCTAATATCACATATGCATTCCTGAAGAATACATAGCCCATATTAGGAATGCATAACAAAAATATTATTTTTATTCTTATGTCTTTTTGCCCTTTGAAAGTAGTACACGTAATTGTGAGTGTTCATACTGCAGATTTGCATCTGGGATTACACCTTGTTGTATAACACACTCTTGACTTATGACTGGTCTTTTATGTACAGTATCACTGCTGTTGATGCTATCACCAGCCTGAACGCTGTCGTCACAAAAGCCATGGTTCAGGCAAATTCCCATGGGTTTGCCAGAAAGTCAAAATTCCCTCATTGGTTTTGGGTGGTTTATGGTATTACTTTTGGAAGAATTGTTACTATTACAGGTTGCCCTCGGTGGACTAGTGCTTAGTGTGCTCTGCACTTGACTCGAGGTGTACAGGTTTAAACACGGCCGAGGTCGATGGATTTTTAAGGGTGATAAAAATTCGTAGCACACCTTCCTTCAGAGCCGGCGGTCCCATGTTGTAGATTTACAGCATGCAAAAGAACCGTACAAGCATGAACAAGATGTTTTGTGTCGTTAATCGTTAGAGAAGCTGCCTTCTCTGTAGCTTTTTGGCTTTCTCTGTCATCCCATCACAACAATGTGGGAAATTTATAGCAAGTTGTAAATCTAATTCTTGACCACTGATAGTGATAATGTGTGTACCTTTTTTTTATTTTGAAACTTGCTGCACTTGTGAGTGTCATTGCATTACTATAATTTCTGTTCCATTCATGTGAGAAAAGATTAGTAACATATATTTTGTTTTTGTAGGCTGGAGTAAGAGCAACTCTGAATGCTAGGACATCTATCCTTGCTGCAGCAAATCCGATAGGTGGTCACTATGATAGAACTAAGTCATTGCAACAGAATATTGCACTCACAGCACCAATCATGTCAAGATTTGACTTATTCTTTATTTTGGTTGATGAGTGTAATGAGGTACTATGTGCTTTCTCTTTTTATTTTGTATGTTTTCTTGTAGACTGAGGCTTTGATAATGCAATAAAATTAAAAATATTGTTTATACTAATAATTAATATATTTTAACTTTGTGTTCCAAGTGGAACTTCATATTTTCTGGTAGGTTATAACATTTTGCATGACTAAGTGGTACTGATGCATACATTCTAGAATAATTAAAATAATTTGTATGACTACAATCATACAACAGCCATACGCAGTCATAACAATTTTTAGAATCAAAGTATACAAATTTTTAAATTGTTTTCTTAATACATACGTTCTGAAGAAGGAAGAATGTTAAACACTTGTCTTTGTTTAAATGATAGTTTTGTTCTTTTAATCCATTGGTTTTCCATCATGTCAATTGTGACCCTGACAGTGCTCTGTGTGGGTTCAAAATTAAGTAAAAATGTTCTGTGTTTTGTAGAATTGTCTGAAAAGCCACTTTTATTCAGAACAAACATAAATAGCTGCTTTAGTAATAGTATTTTGTACATATATGTGCATTCATAAATTTCTGTCATTGAATCAGACTGGTGTTTCAGAAAAGTTGGTTTGGTGTGAAAATTCCCTGGTTTCATCTTTCAGTGTTTGTTTATTTGAATTTACTTTTATATTTATTGCTGAATTATGTATAATATAGGAAACTAATTTTTATATTGCAAATTTTGTTCAATATAATGTTGTGTGTCAGGTGGTGGATTATTCAATTGCCCGCAAGATTGTGGACCTACATAGCAACAAAGAGGACACTGTGAAGAGGGTGTATTCTCGGGAGGAGGTGCTACGTTATATCACTTTTGCTCGTCAGTTTAAACCCCTAATCAGTGAGGTAAAATTATACATTATTTTAATTGTAGACTAACTTGATGCAGCTTTCTTTAGAGCATTATTTCCACATTTACCATGTTTTCTGGAGTGGAAGGTTTATCTCATGGAAAATGCTTTCTTATAGTCTAAAGATATAACAAATCCCCCAAACCTTTGCATGTCTTTTAGTTCAAAATATATGGTACATAGATTTTAAAGAGAACTTGCAGTTAGTTATTTTTTATTAATTCTTCTAGATCATTGACATCAGTTTAATCAGTCCCTCTGCACCTTGCATTTATTTACTACTTCTGGAGTTTAAAGTGTACTGGCCCAGTTTAAAAAAAACAGTATCTATTAGGCACTTGATTTCAATTACCGTTGTCATCAAATATTACAATTAAGTGACTGAGGAATGGAAAGAAAAATACAATCTTTATGTTAGACCATCATTGCTTATATCATAACTTCCTTTTCCACACCTCATCTAAGGGAAAGGACACTAACATAAAGGTTTTGGGGTCAAACACAAACTTTGACTACCCATCAGAGATAAAGTTGAAGTATATCGTGTAATTACTTAATTCATTATCACACTACACATGTGGCTGGTATGTCTTTAAGACTACTTCAACATATCCCGCTGTCTATTCCATAGATCCTCTATTGTGTGTCAGTTGTACCCTAATAAACCTGTCAGTGATTGTCCCTGAAATACCATAAGGTGCAATCTTTAATCCCCTTGATGATAACTTCATTAGCTTGGAGAAATTAATAACATTTTTTACATGTCACACCTTGGTGTCCGCTGAGGCAAGAAACAGCCACATGTAATGCCACAGCACAGTCCAGTAGAAGTCAACATTGTGATAAACCTGGCTGATCGTAAATTGCGTAACCAATGGATGGGTGAGAATGAATGTCTAGAAGTAGTTATGACTTACTTGCCACAGGCAAAGAAAGAAAGGGGGGAAAAAACTTTCTTGGGTAACATTTAATTTCTTTATTAATGTTACTTGACAGGAGGCAGCAATCCTTCTGGTGGAACAGTATGCTCATCTCAGGCAGAGGGATAGCTTGGGTGGAGGGAAGGCCACTTGGAGGATCACTGTTAGGCAGCTGGAGAGTATGATACGTCTCTCAGAAGCTATGGCTAAAATGGAATGCTCTGATGAGGTTAGTATTTTGTAATGATATTCAATATGTGAAGATCAAGGTGCAAATGATGAACTGAGACCAGCATGCTTTTGTGTTTCAGAGGCCTAAAATCTGGAAAAATTGTGCTTGACATAAGTTTAGTTGGTAAACCTTAGGTTCCAAAACAGTGAATAGCATTTTGTATTTAATATGTAGTCCTGGAGTCATCATCCACAGTGTAGAAATTTCAGACGTGGAGTTTAGAACTACCTTTGAATCAGTTCTGTATGTTGTCTGTATAAGTTACTGAAAACACACTGTTTGTTTAGTACATGGCATATTTCTCGTATTGGTTTAATTGAAATAGTGCTATTGATTTACTTTGTTTATTCTTAATTTTTGGTTCTGATACTGTTTTCCATCTTCAGGATGAAATTGATAAAAATGGATGAGAGATTGGTTATATAGGAAACAGTGGTGAGGAGTCAGACCACATGGAGAACCATTTTGTAACCTCATTTAAGTGTGCCTTCCTTTCCTTCAAAATATAAATTCCAGGCTTCCGTGACTGAGTAGGACCCTGCTACATGCCCCACTCTCTTTTTCTTGGTGCTTCTCTGCCCCTTCAAAGAGATGCTTCTGTTCATTGTTTTCTCTACAACCCATGTACAGGTGTGGCAGAAATATTGAAATGTTTTGTAATTTTAATTGCATATAATGCCAGTAGAGGATGCGAGTATACATGGGACTGAAACGCAGCATAGACCTTATAGTTTAGTTTACCATGGAACGTTGGACTGAGGGAACGTGTGCTGTGGAGCTGTTTCTCAAAACAGGTTCAATTAAAAAATCGCAGCAAGGATTTCAATAAGAGTTTAATTAATGCTAAGCTCCTTTTCCCAATGCAATTCATCGATGGGCAAAACAGTGGAGTGAAGAAGGGTCTGTGATGAATAAGAAACCGCCTGGTTGTCATCGTTCTGTTTATACGCCTGAGAACATTGCTTGAGTGTTGGAATCTGTGCAGTGCAGTCGAAGAAGATTAGCACGTAGGCATTCTATAGCTTTAGGAATGTCTGACTGAAGTGTAAGGTTTATCTTACACTCTGACTTGAACTTCCACCTTTACAAGACTCAGATTGCGCAACAGCTTAGTGCATGCGACAAGGAACATTGTGTGCATTGCTGTCATTAACTCATGTGGGTTATTAACTGACAATCCAAACCTGCTTTTGTTAATGACTGATTAGACACATTTCCACTTAAATGGAACTGTTAATAAACAAAATTTTAGATACTGGTCTGATCATAACCTTCATGAACTTCATGAATGTCCCCTTCATGACCAAAAAGTGACAGTGTGATGTGGGATGTCAGCTGTAGGTGTTAATGGACCCTACTTCTTTGAAAATGAGAATGTACGAGCTGTGACATTTACAACAGAACCCTACAAAGGCATGCTGGAAACATTTCTTACACCACACTTATGAATGTTACAAGGAAATCAACATAAGTGGCTTTAGCAAGATGATGCTCCTGCTCACACAGTGGGAATTTCCATGGCTGTGCTTTGTGGGTTCTTTCCGCAACAGACTTCTCATTATGGTGATGTGCCTTGGCCTCCTCGCTCTCCAGACCTCTCTGCTCCTGACTTTTTTCTTTGGGGATACCTGAAATGCAAGGTGTTCGGCAGTTGACCAGGGACATGAATGAGCTGAAAACGAGATCAAGTCAGCAACATTACAAGGATATGTTTCAGGAAATATTGATGAGCTACTCCATTTGTGTGCACCAGTGCATTCAATGTAATGGTGCTCACTTAACAGACTTAATTTTCAAAATGTGAAACACTAAAACAAAATGTCATTGATGCAGGAGAATGAAATGTTTTTCAAGTAAAATAATTTGTTTATTCTAAGAAAGTTATGTCACTTTGAAATAGTTTCATTATTTTGCTGCACTCTGTATTATATCTTTTCATCCTGAAGGTGGAGGCAGTATGTTTTTGTCAAAATCCAACAACATTTTACTATACAGCATGAGAACCCAGAGAACTGTATACATATTGCTATGAAAACCAAAAATGTTAAAATCTAGATTAGGTTGGTAACATTTAGTCAGATATATAGTTAAGTTGTTAAATGATGAATTGTTCTGAGTGTGTTGCAGATTTTGTTCATTAAAACATTAAACAAACTAGCAGTATGATTTCTTTGCTGTAAGTGTACAGCAGATATGATATTCGCTATCACTTATTGTTCAGTTTGAATCCTATTTAAAGCAGATGTCACTCTTGTGCACTGTTAATTCATGTTAATATCTTATATTAGTCGTGACAGTAAAAGGGTGTCATAATACTTTGGCTTATACTTCACTAAACTGATTTCTAGATTATATTACTGTAGATACCTATAGGCTTGTGACATGTAGTGCATATTTAATAAACTGTTTTATAGAAACAAGCAGTTTAGACCAATAAAAAGGTTGTATGCACAGTGTTTGACATAAAATAGTGATTAATTACTTGGATACCATCCTGCACTTTAAACTTGTTGCCATAAAGTTGAACTAAATTTTTATTTAGTTTCAAGCCATATTTAAAATATTTGTTTGAAGTGACAAAAATTCTGTCTGTTGTTAGGTGCATATAAAACATGTGAAAGAAGCTTACCGTCTGCTGAACAAGTCGATCATTCGTGTTGAACAGCCTGACATTAATCTAGATGAGGAGGAACAACCGGCAGATGAACCTATGGATTTGGATGGAGATAATATGAATGCACCTCATGCTGAGTCTGAAGCAGTGAATGGTGTGTATGTACATATACGTAAACCATTTTCCCATATAATGGTCCTATCCCAGAAAAAGTGCTTCCTCCCTCATGTGCATGTGCATTATATCCATTTACTGGATTGTACATTGACCCAGCTAACATTCAGCAACCACAGAACTTACAGATTGATTCTGCGATGTTTGTAACGATGTGAAAGAAAATGCTGTAGGATATGTTTACCTTGGTGCAGTCACACGCAACATCATTCTAGGTTTTTGAATACCAGGGCCATTTATATCCATGTTGAGCAGTGATAAAATCATTTATGGATAATTTTATACCAGAACATACATTTTAAGATGTAACTGTTAATCAACTATAATGTTAATAGACGACAACTCTTACTTTTAATACCTGAACATTTTAATATATTTACTATATCTATAACAGTATTAATGGACTTTATGTGTGTGCACATCCATACACACACACTCTGAATTTGCTTGTGAATAACATGTGACCTTATTTTTGGACTGGAAATGTAAAAATAAAATTAAGTATTAACATGTTTAAAAATAAATAAAATGTTGGTAGTGTAAAAAATTTAAAAAAGAATGAATATGTAGTATGTGTATTAAGATTAGCCATTCAGAGTTTTAGCATTAGAGACAGCGATGATAAAAATGAGGCATGCAATCTTGAACCTGTGAGTAGTGGTTATGGGTACAGGTAGTTACAATGAATGCTGTTTTTAAACAAACATCTTGATAGGTGAAAAGCACTTAATTAAATTTATTTCATATTACCATTTATACCATAGTAATTTAATGAAAGGTGTACGTATTCTGTAGTATCAAAACAATGTATTTATTGTGCTAGCAATTTGTACATGCTTCTAATTACAGAGATATGACTTAACTTTGAAATCATCTTATAGTAAGGAAAATACACTCTTATTTTACATATTTCTTGAGAAAATTATAAATATTTTGTCATCTCAAGTCTACAAGTGGTTGTCTTTATTACTGTGTGTTAGGTAACAAGAATATTTTTTGAATATTTCTGTCTTCTGGGTTGTTGCGCTGTGTAGTCTGGTCGATGTTAACCATCGTTTCAGAGGTCATACTGCCTCCGTCATCTGGAGGCAGTATGATCTCTGAAACGTTGGTTAACATCGACCAGACTACACAGCGCAACAACCCAGAAGACAGAAATCTTTATACTCACCGGTGTGAAAACCTCAAATCTTACAAGAATATTTTTTGCCCATTGATTGAGATTTTCTCTTTGTTTTTGAGTTTGTACCTTTTCATGTGAGGATGGAAACATCCAGTTTCTGAAACATGTTTTGTTCAGAATACAAGGTGATGGTTTAGTAACCTGATAGTACTGATTGTAATATACTATTGTCCTTTGTCAGAATCATTTGGAATAGAATATTCTTTGTACTTAGTAACATAACATGACATTTACTCTTCTTTGGTTTAGACAATTTTAATATATTTAACTTGTGCCTATAAGGAACTTATTAAACCGCTTTTGTTCAGCAGAGTGTTATTAAGTAAATATGAATGTTGGCTTGCTTTTACATTAGGTGATGCAATTGGTGAGGGGGGTGTACAAAAGAAGAAACTGACTTTGTCATTTGAGGAGTATAGGACTTTGTCGACTATGCTGATTGTACACATGAGAAATGAAGAAATTCGAACAGAAAGAGACGGTAAGTTTCTACAGGTATGATTGTACATCCTGTTATATTTTTGTTCTTTCATAGTTTTTCCAGCATCAAAAAAGTGAAAATGCTTTTTATTCTTAGCCAATAACAGTTTGATAAAGCTTCTTTTTCCATGTGGTTTCCAGAAAAAGCAGCAAAGAGAAGTGTGCAATTTTTAAATCTGTACCAAACTCCTGTTCTTTACATTTGAAGGGTTCTGCATTCACGTCTTGGCATGGAGACTGACTGTACTGGGTGATGTTTAAGTGATATTTCCTTAAGTTCTCTATAAACATTTTGGGATATTGGGCTTACCTTAACTGTTTAAAACCCCATGTGTACCACTTGCCTTGACATTCTTCACCTCTGAATTTTGCCCACATAGTGCATTTGAGGGTTTTATATGTCTATCAAAATGAAAAGTGATTATTTCCCCAACAGGATGAACCAACTTATTTTTGTGGTGGAGGTACATTGTGTTTTCTTTGAGGTAGAAACTTAATTCTTATGAATAATTTAAACAAGATTTGACTTGAAGTCCACAGGTGTGTACTCCATTCTTTCTAGATGACTGTAATTTTATCATATCTCATTCAATACTATAAAAGCTAATGATTAAATAAAGAAGGAGTGTGATAACTTATTTTCTTCAGACTCATTTTATTGCAAAAGAAACTGACATAACCTGTCATGGCAGGGAAAGGAAGATATAATGTTTTTGGATGTTTTGCATTGTAGCATCAAGCATCATTAGTGAGAGTATGTTGATTTGGTGGAATTTTTAATTCTGAATTTACTCCCCATCTGTTTTGCTTAATTTATTTGTACAGTAGGGCCCCGCTTTTCGGCGCTCCGCTTTATGGCGATCCGCTAATACGGCGCTCAACAGCTGAGTCAGAGAAGTGCGTCCGGCGCCATTTTCTCGTCGCTGATTCAGTCTGTTTACAGCTTTTGTGCGCTCCGCGTCTCTCTGTATTTCTGGCAATTTTTCCGTTATTACAAACTGTATATTTATATAATATTTTTGTGTTACTACAGTGTAATTACAATGGTGTCTAAGGGTAGTAGCGATAAAAAGAGGAGTCGTAAGCCTCTTACTTTAAATGCCAAGTTAGAGATGATTAAACTTCGTGAACAAGGCATGTCTATGGCTTCCGAACCATCACCAAAACGAATAGGATTCGTTGAAGAGTCACATGATGAAGATGCGCCATCTCCTTCATCCTTCCTACTATAAGCATATCAATTTTCAAATTTATATTCACCAATCACTATAAGCTGAGGACAATGTGTGTATTACTGATATTCATTTAACTTTCATATCATTTTCTTAGGCCTAGCGCTATTGTGCACTTACTATATGATAGTGTAACATCTTATTAGGCTTTGATATGCATTTGCAAGTGAAATAAGGCAAAGATCCGCTTTTCGGCGATTTTCGCTTTACGGCGGGGGTCTGGTCCCTAACCCGCCGTATAAGCGGTGCCCTACTGTATTGCATTGTTGTTTTCATTGTATTTGTAAGTGGCACTGATTTGGATGTTTTTTGTTGTATGTGTGTAAACCAAGAGGGGGAGTGAGTAGTGTATGGATTTTTCCAGCATATAACATTCATGTTCCAAAATTAGATGTTATGCATTGCAACTAAGTCCTGAACCCTAAGGGCAGAGCTTCCATAGAGCGAGTATGTTGTTGGGTGTGGTGGCTACCACTCTGTAGCATCATAGGTCATGTTGTGCGTAGAATAAATATGATTCTTTCACAGCTGTGAAGATGGGTTCAAAAATCAAAGAAGTCCTAAAAATAATAACCTTGTAAGAAAATGTACCCAACTTTTTTATATTTACAATATTGTTTTTAATGGTATACAAAATAGGCTATTTGAAAAAATATGTGATTTAAGTAAACAGAATTTTGAACATTTTCCCCATTCATCTTCAGGCTAACTCCAGAATTCCGCTTCATCTGTACTCTTTTGTCTGAAGTGTCTTCTCGGTGAATAATCATGCTGTCAATTGTGTTATCCTTAAGCCATCTCATTGCCAGTATTCTTCTTAAAGCTTCTTTATGTGAGAGCAATTTTTGCCATCTTTCTTTTTTATGTTCACCATATACTTTTTCTTGAAACATCTGTATTTCCTTTTAAATTTGTAGATTAGCGCTGTTGTGTGACTTTATTTTTGCTGTATCTACAAGCCAATTTGGTAGGATTTAAATTGGGATGGTATGAAGATGGTGCAGTGCATCATGCCCATTCTCTTTAATTTTTCATCAGTTCCATAATGATAGTGATTCCTCCATTGCTGGCAGATCCAGATCTTGGTGTTTGAGGCACAAGGTAAACGAATATGTGTTTGTCATGGAAAAGTGTATACTTTTAGTTTAGCATTTTAGTGTAGAAGTGCTGGAATTTCAGTCACGGTAACATAATCACTTTTTGTAATTGAGTGTACTTGTGAATGATAAGAATTTCCCATGCTTCCTCATACCTGAACTGAGATGTTAGTAGCCTTGATGTTTCCCCACATAACTAAAAACTTAGTGTCAGTAGCCAGGTAGAATGAAGACGAGGACTGTAATATGCCCTTATGTGCAGCCAGAGTCCAGCAGTCACACCCTGAAGTAGAGATACAATGGGTTTGCCCTTCACTTCATGCAAGTGCGTTGAAGGGTTCAGCACTAAGTTGTCACACCGTAATTATGATTTACTTATTGACATAGCAATACTGTCAGACATTTATGTGATCAATACATCTGCATTGAAACTGTCAATAACTGTAAATTATCCCACAGTTCTTTGTGGACTTCATTATTACATTGAAAAGCATTTTGATGATCATACACAAGAAAAGTGGGAAAATGGGTCATAAGTAATGTGGTCCTGTTAAACCAAGATCAAAATGACTACTACAAACTTTAGTGCAAGCCTGCAATACTGAGTTCAAATGAGTCAGGTACTTGGGCCCTATTACATAATGGCTAGAGGGACATGCTTGATTAAACTGGTGGATGTGGTTTTCAAAGTTTTAACAAAAAGGTGATGGCATATCATGGTAAGATGGATGACAATACTATGATATATTGAAGATGTCATAATAAGCTACAGGTTGCTCACCGCTGGACCCAAGGTTCACTTGTTCAGACCTGTCCAAGGTCGATGGATTTTTAAGGGAGATAAAATTTCGTAGCACAACTTCCTTCAGAGGGGGAAGTGAAGCCATCAGTCCCATGTCGTAGATTTACGACATGTAAAAGAACCTTGCAAGCAAAATTTAGTGGCCATGTTCCTCACCCATGTCTCTCCTGATTCTCTACTAGATTGCTCTAGCAGACATCAGGATTGAGTATAAATTGTGCAGAAGCAGTGGGCTCGTCACTCACTACTCAAATGCACTATACAAGACTAATAAGGACAAGTTGCCTGGGCAAGTGTCATGGAAAGGGTCAGTAGGCCCAATCCTTGTAGGAGTTGATGATAAGCTGCAAATAGTATTGAAGGCAAGGCAGTATGAATATGTTAGGTTCAATTATCAGTAAATAAATAATGTTTTTTAAATTGTGATTCTTGTTTATGCTACTGAATCATAACTGAACTGCGTTTGTGAACAAAATAACATCCTATAATGCATGTATATCTGTATCTGTCTTTAGAAAATACTTAAGCTTAACATTATTTTGTTCCATTATTTTCTAAGAAAGATTTTTTTGTATTAGTAGATGGACATGAATGCAAACTGAAACTGAACATTTTTTACAGAACTCAACTGGAAAGTGTGGTGACTGCATATTGTTAGTGTGTACTGCTTCACACCCAAAACACTTAATTTACTCTCCCTTTTGAAGAGTACTATGTCCAGGTAAGGCTCCAGCCATTAAAAATGTTTATGCGTTTGCAGATGAAGGAATCAGTGAAGGTTTGAAGCGTAGTGATGTAGTGGCATGGTACCTGGAGCAGGTACAGGATCAGATAGAGTCTGAGGAGGAGCTGCTGAAGAAGAAGGCATTGGTGGAGAAAGTGATTGACCGACTCATATATCATGTGAGTTAATGCAGTTTTTTCTTCATTACTGAAATTAAAATCTAGTGTTTTATATTTAAGGTTATCACCTCCCAGTTTTCCTGTTCCCTCCTTTCCTCAACCAAATACTACTTTCCCATTAGGTAACCACCCACTCCTCAGCTCCATCAATCACCATGAAATTTGTTTCGCACCTACTGCCTGCTGTATATAAGGCCCTCCTCATACTGACCTTGAAAATGGCAACTGCAGTGTTTGCTGAAATGTTTGTTAACACCAAATGTTAATCTCTCAAGTGAAAGCTGAAGTTGTAATTGATGTAGTTGTTTATCAGAATTTTTCTTCAATTCTTTTGAGGAAGTTCTGGGATTTACAGGATTGTGTTTAGTAATGTGAGCACACTTTTTACTTATACCACATGTCTAAATGAAAGCAACAAAGAAGCATCTTTTCTTGTTTGATAGGATCAAGTTATCATCCCATTAATGAAGACGGGACTGAAGGGAGATGACGAGTCAAGCGAAGGTGACCCACTGCTTGTTGTGCACCCGAACTACATTATAGAACTGTGAGGCTGTTTTTCATACAGGCAAGTGAATTATGTATTTACACTGACCTGTAATATATCTTACACATAAATTTGTCTGTTGACATTTTGTTTTCTATTCTGTCTTCTGAAAAATTGTAGAATAGTACTGTATGTATTCAAATACCATATGCCTTTTTGTAGCATTTTTAATAAGAAAATATTAATTTAAAATACTAAATATTTTTAAATGCTATGATGACTGTATAAGAGACTGGTAGTAAATAAGTAAGTAAATAAATTGGTGTACTGAATAAGGATGACAACATGGGGGCTCAAAGATTTTTTAAAATGTTGTTTAATACAGAATGGAAACTGGAGCTGATCAGTTCACGTGATAGTAGCAGTACATGTGCTGAGCTTGTAAATGACACATCAATGGCAAATGTGACAGCAAGATGTGTAGTGGCAGTGAGGGTATGATATTAACCCTTCATGGTCCTTTGTCGGACTGAGTCCGACATTTGAAGATCCGAGTTCTGGTCCGATGTCGGACTGAGACCGCCACATATTTTACAAATTTTTTACGTGATCTGGTGTCAAACCGAGGCTGGCAAACAGTGTCAGCATATCATTCAAGCCTTCTTCTTTGCACTAGTTTATCCTAGATTTCCTGGTAAGACTTACCTTATAATAGTGAAAGGAGGCAGGAGAGAAAAGTCGTTTTATTCTGACACGTGTCGAAGGAAGCCAGGATTCCACACCAAATGTTTTGCCATTCGTCATATAGTAAAGGAATACCATTGGGTATGTAACTGTGATATTTACTTATCTTTCTAATAGGAAATTATATTTTTTTAATTATTTTTGATACATAGAGCAAACCACCACTGACATGCATATTCATTTGTCTTCTTATCAAGCATTCTTTATGTGTAGTGACTTCATTGTTTACACTTCGCATTCTGTTTCACTTTTATGGTGTTGAACTTGTTCTTGATCCTTCGAACACAATCAACGCTAAAGGAAGCACAGCTCTGAGATTACGAAATCCAATGCTTATACATCGTATATCCGCATGCAGTAAGAGATGTTAAGATGTCGCCAAAGTCATATCTATCGACTCGGTCTCCCTTTATTCTCTACCGAACAACAGCAAGTAGAAAGGCACCACTTATTACACATCTCACTAGCAACAGTGGTACAGTCCGTGAAAAATATTTCACACGGTCAGTATTCAAACAAGAGGAACTGTCATCCTCTCAGAAGATATTTTCACCATATTTAGCAAAGTTTCTTCCGTTTTATGCAAGTTATGAAAGAAAATCAAACCAGTTCATAATAGTAGTTGATTTTATACAGCTTAGTGGTATTTAAAAGGGACTGCAAAGGGTTAATATACATACAAGAGTTTGACCACAGTTTGTGGTGGTATGTACTTCAAGATATTTGTAGATAAAGAAACATGATGTTGAATAGTCCTACAATTTATCAATGACCTGTTATTCATTTAGTGTAGTGGAAATTTAAAATGTGTAACTAGGAAAGTGAAATTTTGTGTGAATGTGATATTTTAAGCTGCAAGAAGAATGGCCCTGCTATAAAGTACAAAGTGTCATAAATGAACCCTCATTCTTTAGTGTATGCTCAATTAATATTACCATGCCTCATCCTCTGTTTACTTTCTGCTAGACGCAATGGTGTCTCATACATGGAACACATCCCATCCTTGCTAATTCCACTCATTTTGGTGCTGCACACTTTTCGCATTTTCGTGTGGAACATTCTAGCTGATGTATTGACCTCAGGTATGTACACGTAGTTTTCCTTTAATTTCTACACTGAGAGTGTTCACTTGTCTTCATTGGTCCCTTAGCCGCCACGGTGGTCTAGCGGTTAGAACGCTGGGCTCATAATACTGGGGTCGCGGGTTCGATTTCCGGCGGTGCTCAGATTTACAACTTGTGTTAGGCAAGGCCGTGGTCTAGGCAACACGGAGTTTTCCTCCGTGGCATCCCAACAATTACTCCACTTTCATAATCGTTTCGCAAAAAGGGGATCACAGCAGGAGCGTTAAATGTCGCAGTTCTGGTGGAACCCATGTACTAATGGGTCGTGAATCCTGCTAACCACCAATGCACACCATGCTGAATGGTGTGCACTGGACACGAAAAAAAAAAAAAAAGGCTTGCAGAAATAATGACAGTTTCTTTGTATTCCATGTAGAAATTTCTTGTTGTTATTTTTGGAAGCCACATTTTCTTATATTTGTCTCATTGGCATCTGTTTGGTTATATAAGATATCGAAAAACTTGATTTTTATATTTTCACTTCAACTGGTCGTACTTGACATAATTTGTGTGTTTACTGTGCAAATAATACCGGCATTTAATACTTTTTTACCCTATAATTTTGCTTTAACACCTGACTCTTAGGAATCAGTTGTTGTTTATGAAACTTTTAGTTACTTAATTCATCAGTAAATTCACAAATGTTTGTGGCTGCTCTAGTTTTATTAACGTGTTTACGAGAGCCTGCCACTATATACAGTCTGAGCCATATGAATCCAGTTCACGCTGTCACACCCAATTCCTTATGCTTAATTTTATTATTTTCCTTCTGTTAATGGTGTGGTCCTTCAGGTTTTCTGGTTAAAAGTTTTGTTGGATTTCTCCCATCCTGTTTGCCCCACTCTTTTAATTTTCCTTGATTTGATCATCCTAATATTTGGTGAAGGAAATGAATTATGCAGTTTTCTTCTACTTGCTTTTACTTCCCCTCTCTTCTTACACAAAATTACAGGCGAAATTGTATTTTTGTATATTTTAATCTTTGTGATTTTAAATAGGAATCTGGATGATATTTTGAACTGAGTGGTAGCATATATTTCCAAGATTGAATCTGCTCTTTTCTTCTTCATGAATTTAGTTCTGGTTTATTATTTTAACAACATTGCTGAGATTATGGAAGTTATAGAGTACCTAAGCTTGTGGATCTCATCTTTTCAGTTGAGGCTTGCCATAAACCTTTTTCATTGCTTTCTTTAAAAGTGGTCACATTCTTATGGAGTCGAACATGTCACAAGCGTGAATTTAGTTCCAGGTTTGAAGTATTTGTATTGTGGTACTAGTATTATACTGTCCCGTGCCGTAGCTGCGCAGTCTGAGGCATCATGCTTCAGACTGGCGATATGGAATGCGCGCTGGTTCGAGTCTTGGGGGAGAAGAAATTTTCTCATGAGCTTTCGACCGGTGTATGGGACTGGTGCCGGTGAGGAAATTGGGGAGCTACAATGAGTAGCGTAATCCGGTCAGGAAAACTAGCAATGGCTGGGGGTTCGTCGTGCTGACCACACGTTACCCTATATCTGGTTGGATGATCATTCACCTCTGCTTAGGCATGTGAACATGAGGCCAGCAGTCAGCTAGTCGGCTTTGGCTCTCAGGGGGCTGTTAAGCAACGGATTATTATTAGTATTATACTGTCAGAGATTTTTCTTGAGTTGAATTCTTTTTATCTTTGCTGCATTACATTGTGCCTTCAGACAGTATTAATATTAATTCCATACTTTGGGACTGGCAAAAATTAAATAGTCAGGATTGTAAAACACTTCCATACATTCCTCAGACAAATTGCTTTAATCATTAAATTAATGCGAGGAAGTTTGTAAGCTCCTCATAATCTAATGGCATCGAGGAGAAACTACTGACAGAAGGAATAACGGTCATTTTAGTGCAGTAGTGTTGTATTTATTCTTGTAACGTGACGTTTAGGGTGGAGTCCAGTGGTGTACTCCTGTGAATATTAAAATTAACCTCTGGTTCCATTAAATGTGACTTCAGGGATTATCAGTTCTTCAGCGTAGGAGGTCAGTTGAATTATTGAGTTAGTTATTAAATAATTCTGACATTTCCTAGCCATTATGTTGAAGTGCAATCTACATGAAATGGCTGGAAAGAATAGCGTGGTTTATTTATTGTTTGTTGTTTTATCCTTGGGCCAAACAAATATTGTGATGACTTTCAGTTATGGCGAGTGATGTTTTAATACATGTAGCATGAATTCCGCTTACTAACCTTCAATTTAATTGGTATGTCAGGAAGCAAAAACACTAACTGCTACTACATAGAGATGATAATGTGCAACATTATCATTCATTAACTGTCAGGATTTCATAACAGTTCTGAGTTTATTTAAGAGATGGTAATTGTGCTAATTACCGAACTACTGGCGGAAGTTGGAACTTTATGGTAGGCATATTTGGCACAAACAAATAAAGCTCTGATAGACTGGATTCAAGCATTCCATAAGTAGCAGGTGTGTTGCATTCAATGTGTATATGTTAACCCCCACATATTTTTCTTCAAAACGTATCCTTTTTTATGACTGCTGAGCTTCTATTAGGAATATAACTGACATATGAGTATGGTACACTACGCATTCATGAAAAGGTGTCCATGTAGTTCAGATGCTGTTTGAGTATTCATTTCCATATGTAGGCCTGTGTACACACAACAGGATGCATCGGTTTAAGATTACTATTCTACTGTTTACGTTTTTATTTTAGTTCTTAATAGACTTTGTTTGTGGTAAATTTAAGTACTGTCAGCACAGACTATACAGGTGATTCCATATTAGGTGTACAAATTTTAGTTGTATTTTACATCCAAATACAGTAACAAAGTTCCCATAAACATTAGCCCACAAAACCAAAGTTTTCGCTCAACGAACAATAGGTTCAACAAAGTAATTTCGTATATGCAGTGTGTATTATTTTTTTGTGCTCATTCTGCACGAAAGGTGACAGCAATCATGTTGTTAAAGCAAATGTTTACGAATGTCTGGTTTAGTCGAAATTTAGGGAAAACCGAGTAAGCACTGGTTATGGCATTGGCTGATTGTAGCCTTTTTAGAATCGATACGTTTTTTGTACTGCCTTCTGCCCGCGGTTCCGTTCACGTGGCCTTGGTTATCAACGATCGTAACAGACGAACTTTTCCGCACAACGGATTTGTGTTGCGTAACGTAATAAAGGTTAATGAAGTGGTAACTCAGTTGAAGAAAATATACATTTTTCGGTCTAAAATGGTAGACTGCAGTCACACGGGACTAGGATGTATGCATCCTTTTTCTTGTAAGGTCAGAGACCCCACGATGGGCCGATGCCACACAACAAGGGGCTCTATAGAATACTTGAGTTCAGAATTAATTTTGAATCGATTTTCTAAACCGTTTTAGTTATAAAGGAAGATGGCAGACTTAATACAAGTCTAACATTAATTATGAAGGGAGATAAGGAGAAATAAGGGTAATGTTTCCTTTCGTTCCTACTTTCATAATAAAATTTATCGATGTTTATTGCTGCTTATTTTCAGGAACATATCTAGTCCCAATATTTTACCACACGTTTTGATATTTTGTAAGAACGTTTTATCGGTTTCTGCACATTTAAGTTAGAAGTCACAACAAAGCGAAAGTTTTATAGCACGTCAAATTTTGATCGTAAACAGCAAAAGCTCAGCTCTTATAAAGTATCTCTGTTTTCTTCAGTTGATGTTTTAAAATTGTGCTGTTCATATGCTTTCGAAAGCTGAAAACAGTTTAGAGAAAATAAGCACAGACAGTTACGACAGTTAAAACATGTTTCACGCCATCTGGTATTCGGAGGATGACGTCAAATCGGGCAGTACTGGACCTACAAGGATACATATCAAGTGAAGATATGCATTTGTAACTAGCTATTTTGAAACAGCCTTCCACGAAAATTTGCTTTCGTTGTTAAAATACATCGTGTGAATTTTGCATTTAAAAAGTCAACACCAAAGATTTTATTTAATAGTGAAGAAGCTCTCACATCCGACGTGCAGTAAATGTAGGAAACAATTTTACAACGTGTAAGTAAAAAGAAGAATTTATATGATACGTGGTGTACTTTATAATTCATGGTTCTTTGTATGATATTTGTATTAAATGGAATGCTACTTATTAAACGTTTCTAAAACCATGATTTGTTTATAGACGACTGTCCTGAGGTTTTTCATGGTTTTCCGTAGTCTCTAAGCAAATGCTTGAGCAGTATCTCGAATTAGACTACGACCACTTGCTTCCACATCGTTTCAAAGTCATCATTGACTGTCATCGTATTTGACGCGATATAATTTTAGCAGTTTAATGCGTCGTTAACTAAAACGTATCATAGAAGAGCCTCTCGTTTGTAGCAAGCCTGATAGCACAGTTCACAAATATCAATCAGCTCTTCTGTTCAATTTGCAAGCATTAAGAATGTCCCGTATTTTTGTTGGGCGTTTCTGCCATCGTACACCTCTGGATTTATATATTTATATATATTATATATATTTACATTTCTCAGTATAGGGGTGATAAATTTTTTTTATTTGGGACACACCGATACATGACCATTTCATGTGTATTCCGACATTGAGTAGCATCTTGAATGCGTCAGATAAGACTTTTTCCCTCTCTCTTTCGTTCCAGGATTTATGGCTGTCATTTGACCCTTTTTGAGCAAGTTTATCTTCCATTCACAAACAAACACCACGTGTATGAAGGCTAGCCTTGAAAACTATGAGGTTACGCATTTATACTTACGAATGGCCAGTACAGCTACATGAAATACACACATTGTTGCCACATCATCAGAGGGAGGATTCCTTTCACAGCAGACCAGTCCAAAGTTCATAAAGCAGTCGTTATTCATTCCATACTTATGGGCTGTAGAAATTAGGCTCACAGCCGGGGGTATATATACGTCGAACAACGCTCGTGGAACTTGGAAGGCAGGCCTCCGGCAAGCCACCCTTATGTTTGTTCTCTTGCTTTCTTGTGCTGAGACCTGAAAGTTTTCGGTAGTGACGCTAGATGGCAGAATATTTTTACAAGTGCTGTCACCATTACACGTCTTTTACTAGTACAGTAAAACCTCTCTAACTTGGACACTTGCAGTTCCACGATAATGTGTCCAACTTACAGAGGTGTCCAAGATAGAGGGAAAGGGGAAAATCATCCTTTCAAATTGTCGTGTAATAACAATGTGGTAATTGTAAAGTATTATGAAGCCCTTCACAAAAAGGAAATTATTGATATGAAAAATCAAAAGGGTAAATTAAATTTTTACAAATTTTGTTTTCACTAAATTAAACTTGCATGGATAAGCTCAAAGGGAAGGGCACCAATACTTTACGTTTACCGACAATGTAATCTATTT